ACAATTCCAATATCACACATCAGCTTAATAAATAAGCCAATCATGCTTTGATCATTCTTTAAATACAACCTATTATTAAAACCAGGATTCTTGATACACACTAAAACATGAGAGTATTCACAAATATTTGTGCTGACTAAAATAAGCCATAAGAATAAATATATATACATATATTGTTTTGAACATATGTTATGTTCCGATGTTGATAAATTCTAGAAAATGAAAAGTAACCTGAAGTAACAAGGGAAGATCAACGGTGATGTGGGGACAGGATGGAAGATAAGAAAGGACAGGAAGGAGGAAATCCAGAAACTACTGAAAATAACGAGAGGAATTGACTTGTTCTCTCCTGATAATGCTGATGCCTCCGTCAGTATTTATCACAGTGTTCATTCTGAGTGTGTGCTTTATTATATGTCAAGAACCTCATTAAAGTAATTACAAATAAAGAAATGCAACACATGAGAGGGAAGGAGTGAAGGGAAGATACTGAAACATAAGAGACTCTTGAAAATACTTCTCATCAACCCTGACACCCTCCATTTATTTTAGGTAAACACTAAAATAGAGCAAAGTCATCATGACCTCATTACAGGAGGCGGATCTGCAAACCTCACCCGGCAACACCAGCTCTGTCCTCTAGTGGGTTCCAGGGAGCAGCCTGGCCCAGAGCTCAGGTGCAGATGCTGGACCTCACGGTCACCCCATGTTTCTCCTTGGACACTACACACACCCTCCATTCCTCTGGGTGTAGTTTACAACTCTAATATGAGGGTAACAATGACAGCTACATCACGGGATGTGTGTGCATATGTAAGATGACATATGGGTCCTAATGGTTTACTCTGGAACACTCACACAATGAAAGTTATATTTCCCAAATGCTATCAACACCACAAAATCCAAGACTCTCTCACCTGCTCTGAGACCCTGCCCTTTCTGAGGACATTCAACGACATAGCCTCTTATATACTAGAAGGTCATGCAAATAGGGTCCTTCCTCTGCTGATATAAAGCAGCCCCAGCCCTGACCCTGCAGCTCTGGGAGAGGAGATCCAGCCCCGGATTCCCACGTGCTCCCATTCGGGCTTCAGACAGAACACTCACCATGGATTTTGGGCTGAGCTGGGTTGTCCTTGTGGCTATTTTACAAGGTAATTTATGGAGAGCAAGAGACACGGAGGATGTGAGTGGATATGAGTGAGGGAATCAGTGGATGTGTGACAGACAGTCTCCTGACCAGGATGTCTCTGTGTTTGCAGGTGTCCAGTGTGAGGTGCAGCTGCTGGAGTCTGGCAGAGGCTTGGTACAGCCTGGGGGGTCTCTGCGACTCTCCTCTGCAGCGTCTGGATTCACCTTCAGTAGCTATGGCATGGGCTGGGTCCGCCAGGCTCCAGGGAAGGGGCTGGAGTGGATCTCAAGTATTAGTAGTAGTAGTGGTGGTAACACATACTATACAGACTCTGTGAAGGGCCGATTCACCATCTCCAGAGACAACTCCAAGAACACGCTGTATCTGCAAATGAACAGCCTGAGATCTGAGGACACGGCCGTGTATTACTGTGCGAAAGATACACAGTGAGGGGAAGTCAGTGTGAGCCCAGACACAAACCTCCTTGCAGGGAGACAGGAGGGGGGATGCAGGGGGCACTCAGGACATACAAGTGTGTGTTTCAGCCCCAGGAGCAGGTGCGGATGGTAGTTAAGGGCTGCTTCCCTCTAAGGGTCTGGGGTTTCCTCTCCATGTAGCAGTTTTCCCTGGGGAACCTCTCTGGACTCATCCATGGTTCTTCAGTTACACATTCAGTCTCTCAATTAGAAAGACTTTTTGAAATAGGGGAATAAATGTCATACATTAAAGGCAGAGACTCAAATTTATATGTTCAGGTTTTCCCTTGTCTAAATCTTGTCTAAACTGACCCGTTTCAATACTATTCCAGCGGATGTATAAACAGTTGAACGTATTCTTCCTTCCTCATTGTGATACCTCAGCCCTGCCCTACTGTAGACCAGCTGTCCCTGCCAGGATGCTGGCTGTGGACTTGCCTGCTAACCTCTGGCATGAGAAGCATAAATGCGCTGAGCAGCCCTGGATCCTCAGTGGGTCGCTGGGAAAGATGCCAGTTAGAGGGGACGTGGGTGGGGGTGTTTCTACATGTGCTCCTTGCTTCCAGGCCCAATAGAATTCCTATATGCTTATATAAGACGTGCATCCTCTTCTACTGTGCAGTTTATTTTATGTCAAATATTCATCATCAAAGCTATTACCAAAAGACACACATGTAGTTGGCAGGGAAAGTTTAGAGTCAGGTGGATAATAACATGAATTTTCAGAAGCTGCTGAAAACAAATCTTTTCTCCTTTCTTCACCACAGCATCTTAGGTGAACACTAAAATGCAGAAAGTCCCACAGCTTCTCCTTCCAGGAAGAGTCCTGCAGCCTCACTGTGCAGGCCCACCTCCGTCCAGGAAGCCCTGCAGGAGGGAACATAACCAGGGTGGAGACGCCCAGGCCTGGACAGGAGGCCTCACTGTGTCCTGATGTGTGCTCTCCAGCACATCACCTGCAGAGTCCAGGCTGCAGTTTAGCCTCACATCTGTAAGATGCAGGTAAACCGATACCTACATCACATGCTTGGTGTGCATATGTAGAAACAAAATAATGAAAGAGACCCTGAGT